GAACATATTTACAACAAAAAATTAAGAAAAACTTTTAATACAAGTGAAGGAGAATTATTTTTATCACAATTCAAATTTTGTCAATCATATATTTGAAACCTTGAAACCCCTTGTGTTTGATTCTATTGAGTTCTTCCTTTTGTGTCAATATTTCAGTTGTGTTGTTATTTCTTTCGTATTTCTGGATAATAGATGCAAAACCGCAATGCAATTCATTTTGCAAATAAATTATTATCTAATAATAATTGTCATTATTAGACAATTTGAAAAACAGAAATTAGTATATATTTTTGTGTAATGAGATGTTGTGTGGATGGGATGGTAAGGATTGGTGTTGTCTTCGCGTACACACCCTATGATCCAGTCTTTTGATGAACTGTTCCACAGGTGTACCCAAAAGAGAGAGACGTCAAGTCAAGCGAAGTAGAGATGAAATGAGTTTAGCTTTAAATTATTGGCCATTGAAAGAAAGAGAGACTGAAAATGTTTAAATTTCTTTGATTTGATTAACATTTTAAATGTTTAGTTTTATGAAACATTTACTGCACATTGAATACACATATTATGTTAAATAGTTTACATATAATGTTTGTAAATGCGTTATGTATACGATTTGACCACAATTTTTATCTTAGAATTTGCTTCTCATTGATTGCTCGATGAGAGAGAACTTAGCGATACGTTTGGCACATATAATAAGTTACATTCAGTAAATGTGTTGTTACTATGCGTTTGTAAAATAGGCACTCATTTATTAGTTAACTATACTGTAATCACATTCAGTTTAAACCTAAATTGCACTCATGTTTAGTAAAAAAAATCTAGTTTTTTCCTTACAAAAGCTGAACGTTTCGTAATCTTGAAAAATATCATACTTTAAAATAAACCATTCGTTTTGTATTTCAGTTTTTCCTTTTAATATTTTTAAAAATTTTGTAAACAATTTATATTTTGATTGGATTAATGTTTTATAAGGAAAGTTTGGCTCAAAAATATTGTAAAACATTCACATAATAATAATTATAATCAGTATTCACTGAAAGGGAAAGTTTTCGGGTTTTAAAGATTAGGGTTTTAAAGTGGTTTTCATTGAGTTTTAATTTAAATAATTTTCACAAAAAAACTACTGCATAGTGTTATAAAATGAAAAATGTATAACCAAGGTCAGAATGCATCAACTATTGTGATACTACCTAACTATCAATTAATGCACTCTTTGTACTCAATTATAATTGTATTTTATTTTGTTGTAAACAACTCTTTCCTTTTGAAACCCCATATAATACAGTACTTTTCAAAACAAATTATGAGAATTTGATTCATAACTGTTATTAACTGGTTTTTGTCACAATTAAGCCATTAAATCATTACTAAATTATTGGTGTAAATGACAACAAAATGATACCAAACCGTCGTTTATTCAACACTAGCTTTAGTATGAGTTTTATTCAATTAATTCGCACACAATTAATAATTTCATAATTATTTTCATTTAAATGTAAAAACATTGCACAGAATTAAATAATTTCTAATTTAAGATCAAATTATAAGCCAATTGTAAGATATAATGAGAAAAGTATTGGTTTGTGAGTTAAGTGCTTAACCAGTAGTGATGGAGTGATGGTCTCCTTGAGCTCAAAACTCTTTGAAGTGAATCCATGTGTCAAAAGACAAGTTCATTATATATATGAAGAGATTTTCTTTGAATTGTCGCTTACTTTTTGTTATCATTTACTTCAATAAGAGTTAGTTTTTTGTTATTCAAACTATGGTTTACCGTAAATACAAATAATACTAACGGATGACTTCACAAATTGTTTTTTATTGTAGGATAAGCCTTGACATCGAGGACCCGGATATATGGGCCACAACTAGCGCTGATTTGTCCCACTTTTAATTGCTTAAGTAAAATATAGCACTAATCAGTTATCCTGTTTGGACGTCAACACTAACGCCTACATCACTGCAACCATTACTACCATTACAACCATTCTCTTCATTTGCAGACAATATTTAGATTTTAAATTGTATTAAAAAGTTAAATATGTTTTGTATTGAATGCAAAACACCTTTTCATCACAACATTGAATTTTGGGAAACAAGTATTTCAATGTTTTATACATTGCATATACGACTAAAACCCTGCTCTCAAACACTGCTCCCAAACTATACCACAGATAGTGTATAAAATACATACATGAGCTGAAAGTTGACCCAATTTAGCATAATATAAAAATACACACAACTATTTGGTATATGATTTGGTAGTCAAATGTCTTTCACCTTGAATTAAATGCATGTATTGGTGGCCGGAATCGAGTGCCAGTCAATGGCCTAATTGCTGGTTAATAGTAGTGTTGCCAGTATTGCTAGTATTGGCATCTTTTGGTGCCATATCTCCAGTGCCGACTCAGCACGGGTTCAAAGATCACCACAAGATATCAATTAATTTGATATCCACTCGATTTTGTTTGTGTCTTATAATAGCAAACATTAAACTCAAAAATAGATTTTAAATCAAAATTTATATTTTCGGTATAATTTTGTTTTTCAAACTCATTGTTTAGGATATGATTCGCATCGGACTTCTTACTAGCCCTCAAACCTATCGAGATTACAACTGATGACCCCTTTCTCAAAGTCTACAGACTCTAAACTGTATTCACTCAATGCTAGTAACTGTCGGCCACTTCTCTGTCTCTATGACTGCAACCCTTTTTAAAGTAATTAAGTTTTATTGTTTAAACCGAGAATTCAACTGAATATACATTTCAGTCTATTTATGATAAGATATCTCCTATCAGTCCATGAGATAAACCATTCAATTTATAGACATACTATCAAATGACAAAACTATACTCAAAATAGTCAACAAATCGTATATCGCTTTCTTGTCTTCAATTTTATCATTTAAACAAATGTTGTTTTCAGAAAAATATGCAGAATTTATATTCATTTTTAACACTCAAAATACTATTTTTAAAGCCCTGTTTGTGATTAATTGTGGAAATTTTATAATTAAATTTATTTTTTTGAATTTTTCAATTGTCGTAATAAGTTGTGAATAAATCCACAAAAAATATTTCAAAAGCAATAAAACATGAATCGAAAAACACATCAATTATGTTATGAGTGGCAGAGAATAATAGCAATTAAATAAAGCATTCATTTCCACATCCCATCCACTTCTGCACCAAAAGCATAGGATTTCCTGAAAAGTGAGTTCACTTTAATTGCAATCCGATTACTATTACCACTAATTCAGTATTTTGTTACACAACTAACTGACAAACAATCATTATATTTTCAGATGTCGTGAAACTGATAAACTATTTTTTCTGTAAACCATTTTCATTACTTTCATCTGCTATTCCGTCCATAAAAATATCCAAAGCTTTTAGTTTATAGTCTGTTATAAAGAGAAGACTAACGATAAAACTTTCTTAACGCAGAAATTTATTTATTTGGCCTTCAATTTAAACAAATTAACACAAAGACTTGAAAAGCATATAAATATTGAATAATTTTTTTAAGGGAATACTTGTGTAGTAAAGTGGTTGCGGACCGAGTGCTGAATGGACTCAAAAGGCAATGTAAGTAATTTGGGTAATACTGTACTCAGAGTCACCATAAGAGGGGTCCATATATATTGTGCACTCAACTACACCAACAGTAATGCAAATATTCTTTGCCCAAACTCTATGCCTAATACTGTTGTGCACCACAACTTCACTTCACTGTATTTGTTGGGCCTATCGGTGTCTTTTGAAAGCCTCCCCCTAAGTATTGTAAAAACTCCGGTCCTCTGGACTACTGTCGCATCTTCTCCTCCGGACCCCTCTCTGCTCGTCGTTAAGGCATTCATTCATTCGTAAGCCTTGGATTGTATGCAACAAGTCTTCTACTGGTCGTCGCCGTCGTCGTGGGAAAGTAGTCCACAGAGGAGAGAGAGAGAGAGAGGGGTCCGGAGGAGAAGATGCGACAGTAGTCCAGAGGACCGGAGTTTTTACAATACTTAGGGGGAGTAATTGAATGGTTTATCTCATGGACTGATAGGAGAGAGAGAGAGAGAGAGACTGTATAGCAGACAGATGTTGACTACCAATGCCGGGCCTTTACGGTAGTTATGGTGCAACTGATCTGAGCTGAGCTCTGCTTTCAACTCACATAACATAACATTCCTCACGAATATATTATATTCACAACAAAATTCTTTATATAAATGCAAGACATTTAATAAGTAAACTATCCTTTGGTTGTAATGTAAAGTAAATTAATCAAAAATTTTTCATTCATAGTATTTCATTGATTGTATTGCAAAATGCAATTATTATATATTCTGCATGTAATACAGTATATAAATGTAAATTCTGTTAATTATTGTTTGTAATATTAAAGAGTGGCATAAAATGGTATGCAATGAATCATTGAATCATTGAATTGTTGCACAGAATGAGAGAGAGAGAGAGAGAGAGAGATGGTCTCAAAGTCTAACTGTCAGCTAGTCTTGAATTTCAATCCATGCAAAACAAACTGAGTTTTCATATTTATGGCCAAAACTTTTTAAAGTATTCAAATTCTGCGAAACTTTAGCGCAAAAAAACTGAATACAGCGTTGAGTCCAAAACAAGTGGCAGTTTATAAAAGGCATTCATAAACGCCAATTGCGTGTTCTGTGGGCCCAGACATTGGGGTCTCAAAGTTATCAATGGATACAAGTTTTACATGTGTGAGGGGTTTGAATATTTTTAGGCATTTAAAAATCATGGGAGGACTCAGTTCTTGCTATTGACATAACTATTCAATTGTTATGAAAAATACCAATTTTTGGGCAATTTTTTCTTCAAAAATAAGAATTGATTGAACAAAATCTCAAAAACAAAATTGAAACTCATGTGAAAAGCAGCAGTTCTTTAGAGCACTGAATATACAGTGTTTACAGAATTGCATGAAATAGTGTAAAAGAGTTGCCTCTATTTCAATGAATGCCACTTTAGTTAAAGCTCTGCTATACTGTAGACGAGCTCTTATTTGTGATATGAGTTATATAAATGCTATTCTAATCAATTGAATCATTGAATCAATCAATTTAATTGTTATTTTCATCTTTCATTTGTAGTTTCCTGGATTCATATCAAATAACACTCACTATTACATCCTTTTCCACACTTATGCAGAGAGAGAGAGAGAGAGAATTTGAAAGTTCATTAAAATTACTCATTAATGAATTAGTTGATGAATTAATTACCTTCAAAACCATCTTCTCGGGCGCCCTGAATGGGTTGTGTTATAACTCCAGTCACACCGGAAAAGACGCCTTTAAGCAAATTTTTACCGCCTTCGGCAAAACCGACCTTTCGGTTGAGTCGCGAACGGCGCTCACGTTTGAATTTATCATCCATTGTAAGCGCCGACACGCCTTCGCCCAGAGTATTAGTAATGCTTCCCAAAGCACCGGCCGCTCCGCCGACAACATTGGAGGCCAACGATTTGACACCAATGGACAGGCCTTCGGCAAACTCTCCCGGGCCCTGAATAATGCCCTGAAACGGCTCGTAGAAAAAGTCTCCGACACCTAAAATGAATGCAAATTACAGTATAATTATTACATTATATGAAGACATTAAACGTTTAAAAACAAACCTTCTTTCAATCCGAGTACGAGTTTCATGGGATTTCCAATCAAATCAAGTCCTAAAACCAATACATAAAACTGTTTGAGCACTTGAGTGGTGTAGTGATTGGTCACAATCGATATCAGCTCTGAATTCTCGAGTAACAAATTTTTGCGTTCAAAATAGTCGAGTTTGAATATAACGTCGTTAAACTCGGTTAGTGTGACACCGGCTGACCGCACGAAGAAGTCCAGCCCTAACGGCAATTGTCCGCCCGAAGCGCCGGCCATTGAGAAACTCAAGTGCACTTTTAGTGGCGAGAAGTGGATGTAATCGTAATAACTTTTGCGCGAAGACAGCAACGATTCTGTGATTGTATTTGTCTGTTTAAACAAAACAAAAACTTTAAATACAATAGAAATAGGAAATTAAAATTTAAACACTTCATTACCAGAAGAATATCTCTAACATCTTTGGCGATCAACTTAGTGTTCTCCTCCTTCTTGACGGCCACTTCAGTCAACTCCTGAATGGCGGACAACAATCCTCTGTCGATTTGTATGAGAAACTCCTGAATCAAAATAGTGTTGTATTTGAATCGATTCATTGTGGCCTGTCTTTGGATGATTGTCGACAACTCGATGAAACTCTTGGGCAAGTGTTCGACGGCAATGGTTTTTGGCGGCGCTATCGGACACATCACGATCTCAAATATATGGTCTGGCATTTGGTTATCGATTTGCAAGCGATTCACTTTCATGTGAAACTGAACGATATGTTCGGACAGTGCGAGCGATACCCAAATTCCTCGGTTCGCGAGTCGTCTATAAATACAAATATTTATTCAAATTAAATATATTTTCAATATGTAAACACAAGAATCGTTACCTTAATTGTCCGTTTTTGGGCGAAATTTGTTTGGGAGCCTCGGAGTCAGTGAAGTCTATTCGCATCAACTCATTGTCCACAACGTCTACATTTTGTCCAACTTTTTTGTTCAACAACACTGATTGATAGGAACTCTCAATGGCATCAATTGACTTAACGGGAAGCGCTTTATAGCGCTTTGAATCTGTGGCTTTGAATTCCCATAAAACTGAACTACAAATTCACACATTCAACAAAAAATAAGTATTTCTCATTAATCTTTACGTTTCATACAATACCTGGTGATAGCGATGTAAAGAATATCCTTTTTACTATCATTATTCACAATCGAGAGACCAATTCCTTTCATTATTACCTCGACATTAATCTTGGGTTTAGTTATCTCTCCGGCCTTTCAATTATACAAAACAAACAAATAATTAAAATTTATAAATTTTATAATACCGTGATATTGAATGTCTAAGAGATTATAACAATTGATCCACTCTTTCCACAAGTGGAATAAATAACAGCAATTAATTCTTCACCTGTAATGCATTGGTCGCCAACGGATAGTCGTTTGTAAACAACAAAACCCGTTGTTTTCCTTCAAGAAATGAGACGACAAACACGCCGTTCACGTCCACTAAACCATCGCATTTCAAATCAATAGACTGTTCCTCAACTTCGGGCGCATTCATCGAGTATTCATATTTCCAGATCAGAGTTCGGTCACCAGAAGGAAAATCCCACGTATAGTGCACTGAATGGTTTGCGGGCAGTGTGTGAACGTATCTCTGTTGGCCAGTCTTTGAGGCCCAAACAGTGACCCGTTTCTGGCCAAACAAAATCGGGACATTCAACGCATTCACTATCATAGCGGGCGCCGCGCCATCGAAATAATCGTTTATCTTAATGGTTGCGTCCCATTCGCTGACATCAATGTCAACGTATAGATAGTGACCGTTGACCGCAACCAATGTCGACGACGAATCAGACATTGACAGAGGCTTTAGGAACAACCAGTAATGAGATTTAGTAAAACATTATAAAAATATTGTTTATATTTGATTACTTGCGAAGAGGGAGACGACGTGTCAAACGTAAGGAATATTTGTTGATTTTTGGATTTCTTGGGCCAAAAGGCATTGGTTGAGAGGCTCTCCACTTGGAACCACTCGTCGTCGTCTTCGGACACATTCAACGCTTTGGACGACACATTGATTATGGAATAGAATGGCGTTATTGTCACGATTTTACTCAAACCAATTCGTGACAATTGAATGTCAACCGACACATAATAATTGAATTTTCCATTCTTTGATTTGGCGATTATATTGCCTTTACTGCCGACCACATCGATCGAGAAGCCGTCCGAGAATCTCGAATCGCCGATCGATAGACACAACTTCTTCTTACAGAAGAAACTCTTCGGTTTGAATGAGAGCAGCACTGGAGTCAACACATTTGGCGAGTGATATAACACAGTCTCGTCGTCTATGCGGTAAACCAATTGTTGATCCGTTCTGTTAATCATCCAAAAGGGAGCGAATAGTGAGACTATAAGCGAAGATTCTTCGATTGAGAGTTTGACGGCAAGATCTAGTGATAGCGATCTGTCGTGTCCTGAAGTGCTGAACTTCCATAAGTGAACGTCATTTTCCGGTCCATACGATGGGATCTTTCGAAAGCAATGCCAGTCTCTCTCCAAATAATCGCAAAGACTTATTGAAATTCCTAATCAATTCAACCATTAAATTCGTTTAACTACTATTCGTATGTAAAACATGTATTAATTCTAATCACCTGTTTCTCCAAGTTTTATGGCAGACAAATCCGATTCTTCGCCCGATTCGAGTGACAAGAGCTGATCGATTCCTTCGGTGGCATAACTTATACGATAAGGCAATAGATTTTTAAGTTTAACGATTGGTATGAGTCTTATTTGATAGAAAAGCGATTCAACATTCGGTGCGTTCGTGTCTTCGAAGTGCACTTCTTTTTGATCACATTTCACTTTAATATAAAACTTATTGTTGGCATTGGTCTCGGACTCAGACACCAGAATCATAGGCTTTGTCTTATTCGGCGAATCACACAATGGAAGACATAGTTTAGTGGAACCTCTTCTGTCAATAGTGTTGGCTGTGTTTCGCCAATCAATTGTCTGATCGCTAAACTTGTAATCAACAGAAGGTCTGACTTTGAGTTCAGTATTTTCACCTAAATATCAAATTATATGTTAGAGACATCTAAAAATGGTTACAAATTCAATCAATTCTGACCATAAATAGCTTCGAGAGGCAGTTCCAGATTGGATAATGGTTTAACGCGACCCAAATGAATTGGTTCGCCTCTCTTCACACAATACACATCGAGAGAAGAATTGAATTGATTAACAATTTGAGCGTTTGATTTAAATGTGATTGTTTTGGTGAACGCGTCCACATCTCTCACGTCAACAATCCATTTCCAAAACTCATTACTCGGATATGACTTTTTTGGCAAATTATAACAACTGTCATAAAAATACATAAATATTTAATTTCAAACATTTTATGAACAAAACACCAAAACAAAGATTTACCGAATGGTCTGTCCGTGACATGCGATTCGCCGATTGATCTCACTTTCGCTATCAATTTGAATACCAATGTTAAGCTCAATATCTTTGAGATCGGTTGCAATTAATGGCATCTCTTCACCAGCTTTAATGAGAATCGTTTGGCTTTCAGAAGATTTGCCACTTTTATCACTCGAATCCTTTCTCTTAACACTACTGCCCGACAATATTAGCCGCAAATTGAGTCCCAATAGATTGCGGACAATCACAATGTTGTCCTCTCTGGCGGGCAATTGTTTAGTGTATGCGTTAGCGAACGCTTCGTTTAGTGAACTTAAAACAAATAGCGAAGTCTTAGTTATAGTTAACTCCAATTGTGCATTAGATTCCAGTTTGACGTCAATTCCTCTCTGGCGGGCAATTGTTTAGTGTATGCGTTAGCGAACGCTTCGTTTAGTGAACTTAAAACAAATAGCGAAGTCTTAGTTATAGTTAACTCCAATTGTGCATTAGATTCCAGTTTGACGTCAATTTTGCCACTTTCTCCCAGCAATACATTGATCTCAAATTCCCACGGATTTGATTTGCCTTTAAATCAATTGTTTATAAAAATAAGTGTGAATTAAATTTACTTATTTATAGTCACAAAACTCTTTATACCTTCAATGGGTTCAATAAGTGGTTCCCAAAAGAATTTATTTTCGTTATAATAATCGGCGATTAGAGAGCAGTTAGCGGTCAGAGATTTATAACTTTTGAGTTTTCCATTAAAATATGAGTTTAACTTAATTAACGGCTGAGAGTCCAGACCTCCCGACTCGACGATTACATTGATATTCTTGATATTGAGATATACTTCTTGTTTGGAAGAGATTATCGGCATTTCTTCGGTGCTCTCAAACTCTTCGGTCGCTTCCACTGCGACCTGAATGTAGCTCAAGAACCAACTTTTCATATCATTGACTCGCGTTCTAAACAATTGCGACGGATTTATATTCACCACTTCATCGGATTTGGTTGTATCAGTACTCGAACCCAATTTCGATAGAATATTCACCACAATGTTTACCATTGGGGGCGATATGAAAAACTGGATGTCACTGACGCTGACATCGAGCATATGTGTATCGCCTATTCACAAAATATGATTATCTCTTAAACATAGTGTTATAATACAAGCAATTTCTATGCCATACCATTAATAGTGCCGTTCACTGCCAGAGTTGTCGGTCGCATAATATAGGCGTCGATATCATTAGTGCCAATATATCGGTCATAGTTTGTCAAAAGCATCGATACCTCCGACACATCGCCCGACAGTTGAACAAAATTAGGCTTTTGTTTCAATTGTATGGATGAATGACAGCTGAGTATAATTGCTGTGGCGTTCGTCACTTCAATCGATTCCAACAAAACAACGTTCACTTGAGACAAATTGAAGTGCAATATATNCACTACTTGTTGAAGCGATTTGTAAACTAAATCCAAATTATAAACAATTAAACAACAATTTTAAAAATTAAATTCAATAATAACTAACTTCTTCTCCAATAATTTTTTAATTCCGGATTCACTTCTTGTAGTCCTGACATCATTAAGACAGAGATCTCCGATCTGACACGTGGTCCACATCGAGCTATCGGTCAGTACCTCCCCGTAGATGTCGAATCGGATCAACTGCGCGGTCGCGACGGCAGAGTTAACGCTCCGCTCATTGCCTTCAAAAAGAGTGACTAAAATCTCGTTTAGTTTAAAATCAAACACAACACTCTTATAAGCGATGATCTGTTTCTCTCCATCTGTTGACTCTTCCCTGTCTTCTTTCGCTTGTAAAGTGTCGACAATTTTATTCGTACTTTCTTTCACATAATTCAAAGCATCGGTCATTAATTTTGACGTTTCAATTGTGGCTATATTTCTGGGAACCGTTCGGATCTCCTTTAAGCCATCGGTTTCTTCCGCGTCGTCTGGTTTTGATGGACTTCCAAACGGAAGAGTAAGCAATAGATTCATTAATTTAGTCAATTGTGTATCGCTTATCTTCAGCTCAATATTTGGCAATTTTCCTGATTATTAAGTAATCCATAAATCAATTGTAATCAATATTTCAGATTATAAGATATGAAATACCTTTCACTTTAAGTTTAGGCAAAAGCGGATCATTTGGTACTATAGAGCGACTAATTGTAACATTCAATTCGACGGGATATAAGAGATGTCTGGCTGTGGACAATGATTTCAAGTCGTGCTCCCAGTACTCGATACTACTCAGAATGACCTGCACTTCAGATATTCGGCACTTATATGACTCGTACGCCATTTTCCGCATCTTTTTCATTAGATCGTGATCTGAATGCTTAGAAATCAAATCTCGCACTTTTGGGATCTCAGCTCTCGGTATCAATTGTGACGATAGGTTGACGTGACCTGAATTGCGGCGCAAATCATGTGTTATTACAAGTAATACAAAACAATATTTTTGAAGTTAACCTAAAGAGACGAGAAGAATAGACTCAGCCTTTTCTAAACATCCCAATTGAGGGATAACCACATATGAGGGCTCGATATCGATATTCAATTTAATTTGTTTGTGTTTTTCGATCGCGTAC